GCGACAAACTTTCGTCTTCAGAAGACAGTGGTGCTTCGTCTGACGAATAGGAACAGTTGCGATGGTAGTTGAGGGGAGTTCCGACGATCGGGGTGCAGTGCGCCCAGTTCGCAAATAAATGTCATTTGGCAATTTCGGGTTGTTATCCTTTTTTTTTTCGGTAGCCTGAACTTGGGAGGTCGACCTATATTCCCACTCAACCTATAGTCCGGTTTATACGATAGTGTGTAATGCTTTTGTACAGAGGACTTAGTGATCATGTTAGTGACCATCCATCACAAGCAGAATTTTCTGTCTCTCCAGGAAATAGATATCTGTTGTGAGACGCCGTCCCATTGTTATTTTTATAATTTTTTTACTTTGTATTTTTTTATTAATTGATACTGCAGTCTCAAGCAGAGACTATAGCAGGTGTGAAACATTGGTACATGATATTCAAAAAAGGCACAATAGTATTCAAAGATATACATGAAGTGAAAATTACAGCGCACACAGATAAAATGATGAGGCTAAGAAAATTAACAAGGCAATGAAATTTAACAGCAAATAACTGTAAAATGCAAGAGTACTAGAACAAGCTAAATAAACACAAAAAAGAATAAAATGTCAAGGTGAAAATTTGTCAAATTTAACAAGATTATGCAATTAATTGGAAAGAATAATAAAAGAGAAGTAAATTCAATAGTGCTAACGGGCTATTGCAAATATTTTTCAAACAAAGAAAGTGAGGCTTGTGTTACAATATTGTCGGGTAGGTTATTCCAATCAACAATAGTTCTAGGGAAAAAAACAGTATTTAAAGCAGTTATTTTGTGTAAGTAAAGGAGTTATCGTGAAAGAATGTCTTCGCCTGGTTGTGTAACCCTGAGAATAATTGATAATGTGAGAGGAGTCTATGCTGTAATATCTTCTAGCTCTTTGGTAAAGTAATTTCAGTAGGCAAATTCTGCCTCTATTGCTAACTGAGGGCAACCCTGATCATTTGACGAGTACAGTAATTGAGGAACGACCCTATGAGTTATATTTGTAACAAACTACTTTTTAAATTTTTTTCATACAGGATAGCTTATGGGGCTATCCTGTATGTGCAAGGCAAAGCACACTGTGGCAACCGCTGCATATTCGTTCCCTAGGTGTGCAGATTCAGCTTGTGTGGTGTTCTCGCTGTATCTCGCTTCTATTCACACGGGGGTGAACTTGTTCTCCTTGGCCACCTCTGTATTTCAAGTGAAAAAGGTCACACCTGTGACGTGGAAAAAAAGCTTTGTAGTGATAACGTTGGCTTTTATAGCGACGCCAGTATCACCTGTCATTAGATATTCTGATTTGCTAAGAAAGGCACCAGGGGCCAACAATCCCTTCGCAGAATGTTGCTAGGAGTTTCAGCCACATACAGTCAGGTTGTAGAGCCAAGCCAAGGAAACAATTGTTGTCACTGATGTTTTCGATCCACACATTCACTTGTATCAAAGGACTTGGAAGAGCCAGCATTGCGACGCTGACTATAGTTTTTCGCCTGCTGCAGTTTGGCTGCAGAATCTTGTTCCTTGAACTTTTTGTGATTTGTCAACACGAGTAGCAGTTGTTCTGGATAGCCTTGCAAGGCGCGCTTGCAGTTTTTTTTCTCTTGAGCAGTTTTGCTGGAGAGATCCTAAAGTTCAGCTGTGTCTAGTTAAGCAAGAAAGGCTACGTATGAATCAGAGGTTGTCTCTAGCAAGGCTTTTTCTGTCCACACCATGTACTCTGCCTCTCAATTACTTTAAGGGGCTGCTTGTTTCCTGGCAGAATTAATAAGATGGACTGAACTTGGTGAAGGCTTGTGACATGAACCAAGGCATTTTGTCTGTCCGCATAATGCATGGAGTCCCAAAGTGAGCAAAAGGACTTTGCACAGCGGCAGTGACTGCTGGTACAAATGTAGTCCCTGGGGTCGCTTCTTCAGGGAATCTGGAGTAGTAATCTATGAGCAGAACTTAGCCACATCCTTCAATCTTGGACAGCTGGATGCCCAGGCATTGCTATGTCTGCTGCATTTTCTGTGTAGACTATAACTACAATTTTAGAAATTTCTTTTGTTCAAGACGGAATGAGTTGGTGCAGAAGCATTGGACAGGCTTGGAGAGAAATGGGCCACATGTTTAGCCATTTCATAGTCTTTATTTTGTTGAATGCACGTTTGCCAGTTCATGCTAGTTAACATTACTTGTTGATCCCGCAACATATGGTTGACTTCAACAATAAACTACCTTTGCATTGTCATAGACAAGCGCACTATTAGTGAATGAGACAATCTCTAACATAACTATGTTTGCTGGGAAAATGCAAATAAGCCCAAAAACTATACAAGTGACTAGAAAATTCAAGCAGCTCAGTGAAAACAAGTTAATCAAAACTGCTTAATAAAAGCAGAAATAGCAAGTCTGCTACAAGGTAGAATAGTTTTGTAGTTTGTTAGTGCATGAAAACTATAATGAAGAAGCAATGCTAGCATATACTCAGTTTTATAGCTAGAGGTGCTACCTGCCACAGTATGAATAATTGCTACTCATAAGATCATTTAAAGAGGCCTTGAAATACTTTTTCAAGTAACCATGAAATGGATTCACTAAAAGAGCTTTTTGCCCCAGGAATTCAACGCAGCAAATATTTTGAGAATCCGTCCAGTGCGAGCGGAGTTACAAAGGTTTGTCGCACGCTGCAGACACATTCTCTCTTTTGTCGTCCTGACGAAAGCACTGGAAGCTAGGCAGGGAGGGATAGCATGGAGCAAAGAAAATACGTCGTGCGTGCCTTGTGACCTTGATCACCTTTCTCTTTTTCTTCGAATACGTGGCTTTTTCAGTGTGATCGCGGGCGCATGCATAGACAAGTTGCGGCCTCTCGCAATGATCCCTGTAAAAATCAAGCGCGCCATGTTCAAATCAGTCAATGGCTGATGGCCTTCTACGAATGACTTTTGAGCATCTTCCGTCATTTGTTGAGAAAAGAGAAAGTAATTTTTAGCTGACATTAATAATTTATTGTGAATTCTAGGTCGTGTGCTGCGCTATAATAGCTATTGGCACGCGTGGTTATTGGAGCCTCCACTACTGATAGCATTGTTTTCTGACAATGCTCAAAAAGTGTTGTAGGGCCCCTTTAAGTGTTCTTGACCTTCTTAAACGGTTGTCATCAGATGCAAATTTTGAAACACGCATCTTTTAAATGTGGTAACAGGAAGATCAAAAGCTACAGCAGAAGAAACTTCGATATATTCCAGCTTGTGATAAACATCCCAGCTGCATGTTCAAGCTTCGCTGTGTAACCCATTCGATGCCGATATCAAAATAACTCATGCAACGACCTATCTTGGTTGTTGAAAAACCCGGCTGTGAAAGGGTATACCAAGCACTCCCTGCCACGGAGACGAATAGTAATGGGGGTGCATCCCGCTGTCTGTGAAGAGAGAATGTAAACAAATATAACTAGCAGCTAATTTTTTTACAACGGAGAAAGTGCAAGCTTGCACATCACCATCGGTTTGCATCTCATTGTCAGTGTCTTAGTAGTGCAGCTATGGCGAGTAAGCGTGTATTTTTAAGGAAGAAATGCAGGAGCTCTTGATCAGTTTATTTCCTGATTAAAGTAGGCAATAAATGTTGGCAGCAATTTTGAATTAATCAGCCATTGTTAAAGGGAGCAGTGACACCAAATTTCAAACTTGAGATGTGGTGCTCATTTGATTACTGGATATGCACAAGTTTTTAGTGAAGTATGAATGGTGTCCGTTATGTAGAAGTTATTCTATTTTGAGCACAAAGATCATCTAAAGCTGGAAGGCGCGTTCCTGGCCATGAGACGCCAACAGTATTTTGACGTGTTCAGCTAGCTCCTAGGCCACGCCTCAGGCGCGGAGTGACAATGAGCGAGCTGCAATGATGTCAACAATTTTAGTGTTGTCTTTGAGGTGTCTACATGTGGTACCGTCTGGCAGCGACGCCTGGTTGCCTGGCATTGGCTTCCTCTGCTTTATTTTGCATGGTTCGTGCAGCACGTTCGTGTCAATCCTGCTTTTTCGATGTGCCACTTTGGGTGATTTGTCGTGTAGTCGTGAGCCCGAATGTGATTATTTCAAGCTACAGTCATCATGAACAAGTAGCACACACGCAGCGTTCATATGTCTTGCCAGCCAGTGTGGCCCAAGCATTCGTCTCCAGCTCCTTGTTGTTGCTATGTTCGGCGTCTATTTCAGAATTACTGCTCAGAAGAAGATGGAACTGAAAATGATTCACCATGTTGCAAAATGCTGCTATTCCTTATTTCTCCTTGTTTTCATCATCGTTTGTGGATGTTGATAATAGTGGCAATGACAGTGGTGTGGCAAAGACATGCCTATACATGTGCGCACCTAGCAGACGATATGTCAACTGAAACTCGCATCACAATTTCGTGCGACCCCGTGATTAAATGGGGCGAGAACGCGGGAGGTGATCACTTGGACGCTCTGGCAGCACTGAAAATTGGCGGGCTTTGCACCCGTTTTGAATTGAGTTCGATACTTGTCATACCAATCGATATGACATATAGTATTATTTTGTCCATTTGTTGCATTATTGGTACCGAGTCGTTCCTGGGAGCTTGATAACTATGTGTTGACGCAAAAAATGCGACATGCGTCATGTTGATGTCACTTCTCCTTCAATTGAAAGTGATTATTTTATCAAGCTTTTTATTCCTTGTGATTGTTGCTTTTTACTTTTATGAGACAATGTCCTATACAAATGTTTACATACTCCTAGCAGCATTCTATTACATTGCTTACAAAATATTTCTATATTATGTACAGAAAAAAAAATGCGCATGGAGCGTGCAGCAGTGCCCAAAAAACATGACAGTGAAAGGGTAACCAATTTTATGAAGTGTTTGGGTGGTAATTATTTCACCCAAGTCTATGCTTCAGTTATGACTGATTTATGAAGTGGCTAACCAATTTTTACTTTTTTTCTTTTTGCAATATTCAGGATTTCTGGAAGTGCTACAGGATCTTCACCAATGAAGCCCGAGACAACTGCTGGCAGCTGGTTTGAGTGCGACATTTGTGAGCAGCGCTACACAAGCAAGGGAAATTTGAGAAGGCATCAGAGTGTGCACAAAAGGAAGAAAGAGCACAGTTGCTTACTCTGCGGCAAGAAATTTACTCTGAAGTCGTACCTCATTACACACGAGCGCGTCCACACGGGTGAGAAGCTCTACACTTGCCACATCTGTGGCAAGAAGTTTCCCTACCAATCAGCTCTCACTATTCACAAGGCTGTTCATACGGATGAGAAGCCATACTCCTGTTCAGTGTGTGGTCGCAAGTTTGCTTACAAGTGTAGTCTTCAGGCACACAAGGTCATTCACATGGAAGAAAACCCCCACACTTGCCTCATCTGTGGCAAGAAGTTTGCCCAGAAGTCTAATCTCGAAGTGCACAAGGCCGTTCATATGGATGAGAAACCGTATTCCTGCTCAGTCTGCGGTCGCAGGTTTGGTTTCAAGCATAGTCTCCTAGCACACGAGCTTATCCACAAGGACGATAACCCGTACCGTTGCTTCATTTGTGGACAAAATTTCATGCAGAAATCAAGTCTCATTAAGCACGAGCGAGTGCATACGGCTAAAATGCCATATGCCTGTAAAACATGCCCATCCAAATTCTGCAAGAAGGCATCTTTGAGTAGACACATGCAACTGCATGCAGCTGGAGTAGAAATGTTCCACTGCACAGAGTGTGGCAAAACCTTTGAGCGGATCAAAACATTGCGGAACCATCTGAAGTGGCACAAGATGGACAAGCCACACCTCTGCCACCTCTGTCCATCGAGATTCACACAGAAACGTAATCTGTATTATCATGTGATGATGCACAAAGGTGAGAAGCCACACACATGTCCTATTTGCAAGAAACTGTTCTCAAGGACTGAACATCTCAAAGTGCACATGCGCCGGATGCACTCTGGTGTCAACACCACCTTAGCGAGCACAGACAGCATGGTGAAGATTCCTTTGTCAAGTAGCCCTTCGACCAAGGTGCCTTCTGTAAGTGAAGTATGTTTTGAAGTTGTGTAGTTTTTTTTTTCCTTCGTGCAGAATATTCAGTTGACAGGAAACCTTCTGTTTCAGGTGGCATTATTCTGACCCTGTTAATATGTCAGAAAACCCTTCACAAGTATTTCAGTATGGATATTCTATATCCCCTACTGCAATTTCATGTTTCTTAAAGGGACTCGAAACATTTTTTCGTACAATCTTGCTTTCAAGTTTAGTTTACAGGATCATTTAATAAATTTCATCATAAATGAAACAATCCTTAATAATATCGAACGAGAAATTCATAGCTGGAGCCGACGTTTCAATAAGTGGTCTGGTCTTTTATTGCGATAGCAATTATATAGACAGCCTCGGCTGATTTACGCTGTCGCCGCCGCCATCATTCTTGTATATATATATATATATATATATATATATATATATATATATATATATATATATATATATATATATATATATATATATATATATATACCGGGAATGTTGCACCAGCCTCCTCTTTCTGCGGAGCGAGCATTGCCTTTCCGGCCGGGGTCGTCTGCGCCTGCATATCTTATGAGTGCACATGCCGGGGAGAGCGCTTATGGATGCCGCGTTATCACGGAACAATAAGCACGCAGCATGTGCCCCCACAGCAGGCGTGAGCTTCTACAGGCTGCGCTCTCAACACGAAAAAACGGCGCCAAAAGTGTACCTGGAGCGATTGTGTTTCCTTACACCAGCGTTTTATAGAGTTACGTGAGATCGGATCTAAATGAGTTGACTGCCAGCCTTACTTCGTATATCGACGCCGTCACTACGCACGAGCCTTGTTGTGGTCATCTACTGTGACTGGGCAGCTAGAACTGGTTGCTTAGCAAGCGCATCTTTACTACAATTAAAGGGGCACTGCAACATTTTTTCAAGTAACCATGGAATGACATCAGTGGAAGAGCTTGTTGCCTCACGAATTCAACAGCACAAAAATTTTAAGAATCCATGCAGTGCGAGTGGAGTTACAAAGGTTTGTCACATGCTACAATTGCATTCTCTCTTCTCTCGTTTCGACAAAAGTGCTGGAAGCTAAGCAGGGAGGGATGGCAGGGCCACAGAAAAACATCACGTGTGCCTCGTGACCTTAAGAAGTTTTAAATTTTTTTCCCTTCGAATGTGCGGGCTTTTTCAGTGTGATCGCATGCGAACGCGTGGACAAGTAGCGGCCTCTCGCGGTGATCTCTATAACGAGCGAGAGCGCCATGCTCAAATCAGTCAATGGCTGATAGTTGGGCTTGCTACGTGTGATTTTCGGGCATATTCTGTGATTTGTCGAGAGAAGGGAAAGCAATTTTTAGCTGACTTGATAATTTATTGCGAATTCCAGGCCACGTGCTGCGCTATAATATTTGGCTCGCTTGTTGTGGAGAGCCTCTACTGCCGATCAGCAGCCTTTTCTGACCATGCTCAAAAAGCGTTGCAGGGCCCCTTTATTATTGCTCTTAAAGTGCTAGCCTTGCTTCGTAATACATTCCACTATCTTGCTATCACATTCAATGCATTGCCTTTTTGGGGAAATTGTGACCTTTTTTTAAGGCTGTGCAGCTTTGAAAAAGACCAGCACCCACCCCCTTGTTTACGAATGTCTCATTGAAAGCTTTCATGTTCCCTCTCCTTTCGGTAATGTTGGTAATTATATTACACCATTCTTTGCAGCACTGCCTTTCCTCCTTAACTGGCCAAATGCACTGTCATTGCTGGCATCAAATCGCGCTCGTCATGTTGAGCGATGCTACCCTCTTTATTGCTCTCTGGAGCCGGTGCTCTCAGCTCCAGCATGTAGTTTCTCACTATAAAGCATAGAGAAAAATCTTGCTTTAGTAGGTTGGTGTATGCCAGGGAATGCTGGTAAAAGTATATGGTGGGTTCAGATTGGAATTGGGTGACTTTGGTAACTGTTTCATAGATTGCATGTTTATCTTCAGTTCATTTTCCTAGCGCCTCCGCTTCAATTGTGCTCTAGTTTCAAAGACAATAGTCTTTTTTGTGATACTTGAACGCAAAAATTTTGGTCTGTTTGTCTCTTAGCCACCTGGTATAAGTTGAAATGCTTGCTGAACATTCAGCCGTCTTGAACTGATAGCTGCTTTCATACTTATGAAGGTTGTTGATCAAAAAGCAAATATCACGCGTATCTGAGGATTAACATCAATAAATAGGTAATAAGTAATGTGTTTCTTTACTAGAAAATACCTAGATACAAAACTGTAAAAGCCGTAGTGTTTCTTACGCTGCGCCGAAGATACGACGCTATGCACGAAAAAAATTGCCAGCAGAATGTCGTTTGACGTCATTCGCAACGAAGCACGCAATTAGACGTCCAATTTTTTTCTTCTCATGATTATCTGGATGAAAAATTAGTGTATGAGAATGCTGGAATGTATTTAATTCAAATTTCCATCATTCATTAAGAGCCCGTACGCCTCAAATATACGTCTGGCCAGATTTTGCTAATTCAATGTTGTGTCAAAACCGTCTGTTGTGAGATCTTTTGTCTCACCATTATGGCAAATTCTTTACACCCTAACTTCTACTTGAAAAATGGCTGAAAGCGCTGGCCACCCCAAGCTTGAGCAAGAGAGAAGACCACGATGCTTCGATCACTAACCTGTTGGCCACCCCGGCGTTTCCTGTCGCGACCAAATAAACGGCCCCTTGAGCCGTGTGCATCTTGGTCTTCTTCGTGCGTAACAGATTGGTGAAGGTGCTGGGTACACATGGGTATTGATGGAACCATCACTGCTGTGCTTTCTCGAAGCCGACGAAATCTGACGAAATTTCCACGGCCATGTCCAAAAAAAAGGAGATGCTCCCAGGACAGCGATTTCTGGTCCGCTGCAGTACCACCTAGTCCCACCACCCTTCGGAGGGAAATCAAGAGATGATGCCGACGCGTGGCTCGTCCAGTACAAGCGAATGAATCGTCAAGTCTAATAGCTGGGATACCCCAGCACAGCTCACCAATGCGGTCTTTTGCCTTACGGATACTGCGCTTATGTAGTACGAAAACCACAAGGACATGCTGACGTGGGACATGCTGACGTGGGACATTTTTGTTGCAAAACTGAAGGCATGTTTCGGCGACTCGAGTGTCTAAAGGAAGCGGGCCGAGCAGACATTGTCTCAATGCGCGCAGGTGCCAGGTGAGACATGCACCACGTATATAGAGGATGTGCTAAAGCTCTGCTAGGTGGTCAATTCTAAAATGTCAGAAGACAAATTCTGACATTTGTTGAAAGGCATAGCCGAGGATGTCTATAATTTTCTCGTCAGAGAAGAGCACCTGAGCTCGGTGTCCGACGTCATTCGGCATTGCCGAACTTTCGAACAGCTCAAAATGCAGGATCGCCTCAAAATTTTGGCCGACGCAGATCGCCTTTCCCATATGCCACTGAGCACTACAGAGTGTGATGCCGATCACCTCGACCACCTCGCAGCTTCTGTGTCACCAAAATTTCCTGACTTCAGCACTATCGTAGATGAACAGCAAAAGGACATTAAACTATCATCGCTCTGCACAGCTCCTACAACATGCCATGTCTGTGTACGCAACGGACTCCTGTATAAGACCTTTTCTAGCACTGGCGCACAATTCCTCCTGGTGGTGCCGGAAAGCCTTCGGTCAGCGATTTCAAGTTCTATGCACGACGATCCTACGTCCGGACATTAGTACGTTCTACGCGGACGCCCTACCATGCTAAGAAACTTTTTTATTGGCCTGCAATGCGGCAGTCCTTCGAGGGGTATGTGGCCAGCTGCAAGCAGTGTCAGTGCCACAAACGCCTATCTACTGCTCCAGCTGGTCTTCTACAGCCCTTGCCACCTCCAAGCACAGCTTTCCAGTTAGTGGGTATTGACCTCGTGGGCCCTTTTCCGAAGTCGGCTAAGGGCAATCGCTGGATAATTGTATGCGTCGATTACCTCACACGCTACTGCAAAATGGCGGTCATAGCAACCACAACTGCCAGCGAGGTCTCTGTGTTTTTGCTGCAGCATGTTGTCCTCCGATATGGCCCACCTCATGTGATCATCACTGACCGTGGACAAAAATTAATGGCAGAGATAGTAGAAAAGCTGCTTGAATTGAGTGCGTCCTACCTTTGTCATTCGTCGCCATATCATCCGCAAACAAATGGGCTCATGTAGCGCACCAACCAAAAAATTGTAAACATGCTCTCTATGTATGTGGCATCCAACCTTAAGAACTGGGATGATGTGCTACCATTTACAACTTACGCGTTCAACACTGCTAAGCACAAGACAGCAGGCTATAGTTTCTTTTTCTTGATGTACGTACGATCACCGCGGCACACATTTGACACAGCTTTGTCATTTTCGATGCACGAGAATATCTCTGTGGCTGAAATCTTCTGCCTTGCAGAAGAGACACGTTGTATTGCTCGTTTACACACTTTGGCATCTCAAGAGAAATCGAAGGCACACTACGACGCCTGTCAACGGCCTGTAACTTACCATCCAGGCGACTTAGTGTGGCTCTGGACTCCTGTACGAAGACGTGGTTTATGCCAGAAGTTCCTAGCCACATATGACGCACCATTTGTTGTTCTCAACAAACTCACGGAAGTCACGTACACAATAGCTTGCCTCACGAGAAATGGTAAGAGAGCTGCTGAAACACAAGCAGTTCATGTCGCCCGACTGAAGTTGTACATGCAAAAGTGAATCAATTACCTCGCCCGGTGGGCTTCGTGTACGAGAAGAGGAATGTTGCACATACCTGGAAAGAAAATGAAGATGCCTGAGCGTGCTGGCTGCCTCAAGCTGGAGCAAGAGGGAAGACCATGACGCTGCAATCATCCTCCTGTTAGCTGCTCTGGTGCTTCTCTTCGCAACCAAATAAACAGGCCCTTCAGCCGTGCATGTCCTGGTCTTCTTCGTGTGTAACAATATTTTAAAATGTATAAAGTAGTGGTGGCTGCTAAAGTTAGCAGACAGACAACATTGTTACTGTTCATTTCTGGATGTTTTGTCACGTTCTTTTATTTCTCCATTTGTGTATGCCCTGCAGGCGAGTTAACTTTGGTTGTCAGATGTGAAATGAGTGCATGAGCTCTGCTTATAACAATGTTGTTTTAGAGAAGCTTTGTTCGTGCTTACCAGTCCATGTTTTAAGCCCAATATCAGATAGTACACGCCTCGCTCAATCCAGCTAACACAAGCCTCGCAGACATATATTGTCATTCCCATGACTACATAGCGCCTTAGGTACAAAGTAACTTTAGAAATACACTGGTGGTTGTGGCAGAAATCCCTCTAGGTATTATTGTGAGAAACTTTGTGGGAGGTACAATGTAACTTAAGAAATACACTGGTGGTTGTGGCAGAAATCCCTCTAGGTATTATTGTGAGAAACTTTGTCGGAGGTACAATGTAACTTAAGAAATACACTGGTGGTTGTGCCAGAAATCCCTCTAGGTATTATTGTGAGAAACTTTGTGGGCGGTGGAGGGGAAGCAGATTGCAAAAGAGATACGCTCCACCAAGTGCCAGAACACTATCAGTTGTTGTTATGTTACCGATTATAGAGTAACCCTAAGCCGTTATTCTCTTCTTCCATGTGCCAGCAATATGCAAGTGGCAAGAAGTATGCAGACAGATAAAAAATAAAAATAAATGAGCATGATCCCTTATGAGCATAAACTCGGGCAATGTGTCTACCGAGGTGAAGTTACAGCTGCAGGCTCCCGGATCCTGGCATTTAACGAATAGCGAGAGCCTGACACTCACTGCACTGAAGAGCTGAACTGACTTCAATCGCCAGTTGTCTTACATGCCTTGCATGATGTCAGAGCTTCCACGATTGCAGCTAACAACATGGCTAGGGCTGCTAGGGCAATGGCCTCAAAAGGACGCCATGTTGTCTGAAGAAAGAAAGATTGAACTAATCACTGTCGTATAGCTTATACCAATGTGGAGCACGTTGTAACGCAGGCATACAGTCTTGTCCACCAGAAATTCAGTGATGTACACTGGACATGTCTAGTCGGATCGGTTACCAGTGCCATGTATCATGGAGCAGTGTTAGTTGCAGAGTTGGAGGTATGTTCACTTGAATGAGCACTATGCGTTCATGAGTTTTCACAGGTGTGCGTCCTGGTATTGCCCAATTGTTGCCCTGTTTGCCATGTTGTTACGATGGTGTTGCCTTGGTGCAGCCATGGTGTTGCCCAATTGAGACTGGGATTTCATGTTGCTAGTGTGAATGTGCATCAGAAAAATGCTTGTGCATAGAGAGAAAAGTGCAACATTGTCAAAGTGAAGTGACCAATGTATGTTTAAGTACATCACAGATCATAAACAAAACTAGCAGTACGGAGGAATAACCCAGAAAGTGGCCTCGTCACTTTTCGAAGTAAGCGGAAAAGTTTTTCGCCCATAACTGATACGGCAGCTCCAGTGTCAATAAGAGCCGATGCACAAACACGGTCCACAAACACGTCAATGACATTCGAGGGGCTGCTCTGAGGTCTTTTACATTGTGATAGCGTCACAGTCCTTGACTAGTTTTCCTGCTTATAAGCAGCCGAACTTGGCCGCATGGGGGACAAGGAACGACGTTGTGGAGACGGCGATTTTCGAGGAGATAGACCTAGGTGAGACGACCGTTTGTCGTGATAGGGACGGCTGAGCTGGCCAGCAACAGGCGAAGAAATGGGAGCTGGCTGTACGTGAGAGCAATAACTAGCTACATGACCGGCGTAACTGCAGGCAAAGCATATGGGCCGGTTGTCGAGTGTGCGCCATCGGTTCGCCGGGGTAGGTCGCACCCATATTGTCAGAGCCAATGGACGGAACAGTGGCTGGAAAAGCTGCATGGTGGGCTGAGGCTGATGGGTTGCGTCGACATACGTAGCGGGCATACTCGCTGCAAAGGACGGAGGTCAAGCGGCAGCTTCGGCGTAAGTCAGAGGGGCGGGTGCTGGAAGGACTTGAGGCGGCCTGGCGACGACTTGGGCGTAACTCAAGGGTGCAGGAGCCGGAGATTGTTTGGGGTGGTACGCAGGCATGACCTCCTCTATTTCCTGCTCAATCGCTCAACGGATGGGAGGGAGAAGGTTAGTGGCCAATTGTTGAACAACTGGTGGGTGAGCAAAGGGCAGGAGGGAGAACTGGCACGCGATTTCTTCACGGATGAAGGACTTGAGGTCCGCCATCAACGCCACTTGGTCACAACTGGCCTCCAAGCCAGCAAGCGTTGCAGCTCGTGGTGGGGAGCGATGGGTAATTGAACGCTGCCGGCGGAGCTCCTCGTAGCTCTTGCACAATGTGATGACCTCAGCCACTGTGCTGGGGTTTTATGTTTTACGAGGAACACACCGCCGTATATTACCCATTCTTTCTTACAGATCACTTTCACTCACTTCAAGGTCAATGCAGTTCGGACAATTTTGATTGCAGGTTTATAATAATTTACTGGACGTACTAGTTTTTGCCAAAAAGCTCGTGTAAGGGCTAGTTGGGCACACTGTAGGTAAAGGCAGCGCTGCAAAGTTGAGAAAAGGAGAAAAAACATCTATCGACTAAATTCAGTTGTTAATGTGCTTTTCTGCGTAGTCCTGTTATTTTCTTTTTCTCAGCTTTGCAGTCTGCGTTAACCTAGTTCTTTGGCTTAGCCTCTTCACTCAAACATACTTAGTCTCTTCACTCAAACATACTGACACTTTTCAGAGTGCTTTCTTTCGATTGTGCTACAAAGCTTTAGGGGTCGCGAACCCCCACAATAAATCATTATTATGCAATGCCTTGTTAGCCCCTAATCGTGGTCAACATACAACATTTTGCACCTCTGATGGTACGCTCACATTTTCATTGAATAGAAATTTCAGGCAGGCAGTTCAAAGCAAATGAATTCAAGCACATATAGGCATGTTAAATATGTTTCACTCCTGCATTTCGCAGTCTGTATCTAAGCTGACCTTTTGATTGATTGAGACTTTTGGTATATTCTTGAACTCTTATGTTAGTGTTGGAGTGCGTGTTAGCGCTAATGTTACGACAACGTGCACCTCGTGGCAGAGATTAAGCCTTTCATAAAGTGAAACGTTAACCCTAACACAACAGATCTGGTGCCACCTAAATTTAAAAAAGGCAAAGCAACAAGCCTATTCTTCACTACAGCATTTGACTTTATTGCGGTCAATAAACGTGGCACATTTCAACGAACTTGTGGACACGCCATTCGAAACGCTCGAATGAACGAAAAAAACTAAATGCAGACCGCGGTGCCATCTTGACGCCGCTACAGTGAAGTCAGGCAGTCTCTCATTAAGCTTTTCGCGCTGCTAATTGAGAGCATATCTCAAGAACGTAGCTGCAAACTCACCAGGTCACGGTTGGCAAAACATTATTGCTCGAATGTCATGTAAATGCGAGTAGTAGCGCAGAATGAAGCAGCTAAGCGGTGCAGGCTGACGACTTTGAAGCTATGCCAAAGTGGTGGGTTTTCGCTTCGACGGATGCCGCCATCGTATCATATGTGCGTATTCCCTTGCGTGTACAACCGTTTCGATATACTAGGCAATTGGTGCACGTACATAACAGCTCAGACTACGTTTAAATTCTGCGCGCGCGCAGTGTGTATACGTACCATGCAAAACTAACGCTAAATCCTTGTCTTTGCTGTCTTTCGCTTTACTAAAACTCTAATGATTATGTTTCAATTGTGCAAAATCAAATTATACTACAAGTCTACATTGAGATTGTGTGCGTTATTTGCAGGAGCATGCAGATGCGAATGGAGAAGGAGTAGCTGAAGCAGCATGTGGCGGCAGCAGCACTGAAATCTGGAGAGACAACATGGATTCAGAATAACCCGCCAATAGGGCATTATGGCGATTGACTGCTGACGCGAAAGCCGCGGGATCAAATCCCAGCCCCGATGGTCGCATTTCGACGGAGAAAAAAGACTAGAGGCCCGTACGCTTATATTTAGGTGCACTTTAAAGGGTGGGGGAAGGAGGGTGCTATCACCTCTGTAAAGTTGTTTGCGCCTTGTGGCGCACCTGTTTCGCGCATAGGCTGCATTTCGGTTTCACAACTATTGAGTGCTAGGTGGCGTTGTGCTTGCAACCGTTTCAGAGTTCAGTTCGGACTGGCACTGTGGATGGACATGTTTTTTGGGCGCTCCCGGTCGACTGCGCTGATAAGTGGCTTTGCATGTTTCAAGCTTTTATAATTATTAAGGCAGAAGTTCAAACCTTGGTAGCAGTTATTACATTGTACGGCTTTTTCGGGGGTCAGTCATCAGGTATTCACTTGTTTGTGTGTATGTGTTTTTTTCTTGCCGTCCCATGGGAGAGGTGCGCGTACACCGAACATGCAAATTTTGTAGTAGAACTTAGACTTTCTTTTTTTCGTAGGGCAGGATTCGTCATACCCCGTGTTTTGTAATTATCGAGTGGGACAATTTATAAAGACAACTGGTGTCAAAAAGACATGGTTAAAAAGGCTGTAAAGTGTTCAGGATGTGAGGTGGGTTTGAAAATAGATGCAAGTCCAGACGCGAATGGAGAGGAGGCTGACGCCAAGTGTAGGCAAGTGAGGCCGAGGAAAAAATGGAGAAAATGATGGTTGCTCAAAGTGAACTGCAGATGAGAATCACCAAGCTGGTGACTGCATTGGCGACAGCGCAAGAAAAAACGAAGGCTATGGGAAAAAGGCTCAGGTCCGCCGAGAAGGCACTAGCGAAGGTGAACAAAGGAGCGGCCGACGGAGAGAACAGTATGGCATCGGCAGCCAGAACGGCAGAGAAGAAAGAGCAAGCAAGTTCGGAAAAAACAGGTTCAGCCGGTTCAATGGTCGCAAGACCCAGCTTCAGCAAAGTAGTGGCGGTGTTGGGAGGGGACAAAGCAGCCGGCGTCACAGGTGCAAGTAACCTCCAGGTGCAGGACGCTCCAGCTGAAAAGTGACAGCAGGCGATAATCGCCGGGGACTCCAATTTAAATCGATGCGTAGAAGCAATGAAAGAGAGGGTAAGAGGTGACAAGAGGGTTGCAGTAGAGACGTTCCTAGGACGCAAACTCGAAGCAGTCATCAGGCAAGCGAGCGCAAAACTCAAAACTGCAGCTGATGTACGAAACCTCGTGATAATTGCAGGTGGTTTAAACGATGCCCTGAATAAAGATACAGCAGGATTAGTGACCACAGATGAAATGTGCGCCATTTCTCCTCAAGTACAGGTAGTGATTTGCACGATATCTGAGGTACCGTTGCATGACAACAAACTGCAAAGAGAGGCTGTCAACGGAAAGCAAGAGATATGGCGGATGAGTCCAGAGAAAGGCTTAGAGATGGTGGAAATAAGCAGAGAGGTGCATGGGTGGGGTGGTTTTCAATCAAGGAGACATATTCACTTCGATCGGCGGCTAGGTCAAGAGGGGAGTTGGCGACTTGCAGGATGCGCAGTAGCTTTTTTCGAGAGCACGTGGGCCCTTCGTGGTGCAGGATAGCTTGTAACGAGGAAAACAACCAGGGAGAGTCTTTGACAGGTGGTATGGACAGATACGATTCCAAAGTGGCAGCACTATCTAAGACACGTAGAGTCCGGGGCAGAAATCGACGTAGCCACGAAGGCCAAGCCAATTCAGACGTAGGGTATATTAACATTCAGGGTGGGAGGAATAGGCTGAAGCGGGAAGAGATAGAACACCACCGAAGGGAGGAGAGGCCGATGGTATATGGTTTTGTAGAAACACATCTTAGGGACATAGAACAACCACCTAACAATGCGGACTACACATGAAAATGTAATAGAACAGAAGGCAGCAGAAAGGGGGGTGATATTGGGGCATTCATTCATAAAAGTACAGACTAGCCAAGGGTCAAGCAGGAGTGCAAGGAACATTTATGGCTAAAAGGGAAAGTGGCAGGGCAAATGATGCTCCTGGGTTTTGTATACTTGTGGACAGGGGCAAAAGCCAGAGAGGAAAGTCAACAAATGGTGCAGTGCATAGGAAATGACATTGACGAACTAGAAGAAGAGTGTGAGGTAATTATATTGGGAGATATGAATCTGCACATAGAAGATACAGATGGATATACTGACCCAACAGGCAGAATGCTAATGGATATGCGTGAAACGCATGACTTAATCATTTGTAACAGCACCGAGAAATGCGAAGGGCAGATAACATGGGAGGTGGGAAGGCTGCAGTCGACGATAGATTACGCAATATAGTCACATAGGATGTATGATCGGCTAAGGGTCATGAACGTAGATGAATATGGGTCCAGAAAATTAAGTAGTGATTGCAAAGGTATCAAGCTGAGTTTTGGAAGAGAAATAAAATTAGAAAGGTGGCATTACGAGCAACCACACGGTAATATTTATTCAGATAGGCAAATAGAAATAGCAACTAAAGAAATTTAGAAAATAATCACCGAGGGTACTAAAACACAGTGGACGTACACAAATCTAACCCGATTGTTTGAGTTAGAGCTTGCTAAGGTACGAGTCAAATCAACCGAAAAAAGCAGACACAAACCCAAGAGCTGGTGGGATGAGGATGTTAAGGGAGCCATAGTAAGAAGTCAGGATGCATCCAGGGAACACGGGTATGCTAAACAGAGGGGTGATCCGGAAGATGATGTCAAAAGAAAATAGAATAACTCTCTGAACTGCAGAAGGGAAGCGTCTGATTTGATCAGTGACAAGATTAGAAGAAAAGGGGCCCAATGGATGGTGGAAGTAAACAAAAAGGATAGAAAGGCAGCTGCAAAGTTTTGAAACCATCTCAATTCTCTGAGTAATAAAACAAGCATGAAACAGAGGTTTAGAACTACAGTTCAAGGGGTCAGACTAGAAGGGTATGAGGCAATAGAATATATAAAAGCAATGATGACAGATAAATTTTAACACCAAGAAAACTGCATGCACCATAACAGACGAGGATGGACGAATTATCTCAGTGGCTCCACCGGAACAACAAGAGTGGAAAAGGGCAGAGAAAAGGGTTCTTGATAGCACATCAACCGGCCCTGACGGCATCCCAATCATGCTAATAATGAAACTAGGACCAAACTCTAAGGAAACATTAAGAGGGGCAGCCAGCGAACCAATAATGAATAGTGAAGCTCCCAATGGGTGGAAACTGAGCATGATCTATAAAGGAAAGGGGGACAAAGCCGATATTAACAACTGCTGGCCTATAACAGTGACATCAGTAGTTTACAGGGGATTTGCTCGGAGGATTTCAAGCTGGACGGTCGTGCCCTCGCGATCCCCGACGCCAGCGTAGCTCCCGCCAACTGGTTCGACCTCCGCGGTCTCCTGACGCCGTGCAGCTCTCGCATTGTGGTGCCCCGCCCTTGGACTGCTTCGACCAGATCTCCACTTTCCTATCTCCTTCTATTTTTCGTCGCTTGCCTCTCTATTTCTTCATCTATTTTCTTCTATTTTTTTATCCCTCCTTCCCCCCACACCTATAAGACACTGCGCTGTGTCGCCGCTCAGGCAGACAGAAATTAGGTGCCTTTTTCCTTTCCCTTACAACCACTACCACCAGTTTACAGGCTGGTGCTGCAGATACTAAAAAAGAGACTACAGACATGGGCAGAGAATGAGGGGGCGCTGGGAGAACTCGAAAATGTGTTCTTTAAAAAACGGAGGAGGTTGAAGGACAATCTGCTTTCAATGATTCAGTGTATTGAAATAGCGAAAAAAGAACACAGGCCTCTGTGGCTGGCATTTCTAGATATCAAAGGAGCGTACGATAGTGTGATTCAAGAAGACTTGTAGGGAATACTGGACACACTGGATGTGGAAGATGAAATAACTAATCTAAAGGATATCGATAAAAGTAACTAGGTGGTCATGAAATGGGAAGGACAGGTATCTAAACCTATGGAGATAAAATGCGGGCTTCGAGAGGGATGTCCCTTGTCACCTTTGTTATTTATGCTGGACACCCTGTATGTGGAAGATGGAATAACTGATCTTCTAAGGATAGAGATAAAAGTAACAAGGTAGTCATAAAATGGGAAGAACGGGTATCTGAACCTATAGAGATAAAATGCGGGCTTTGAGAGGGATGTCCCTTGTCACATTTTTTATTTATGCTGTGTCTCAAGGTACTAGAAATCAAATTAGAGGGGAGTCTACTCGGCTTCAGCTTCTTTTTTGGCAAGCAAGGAAAACACATTTAACAGTCACTACTAGCATTGATGTATGCAGATGATATAGTGGTAATAGCCCAAAACAACGAAGATTCGCAGAGATTGATGGACATCTGCAGTAAAGGGAGATAGGTTAGATTTCAGATTCAGCAAGGAAAAATCTGCAGTCATGATTTTTAATGCTAATGAAGGTAATAAGCTTAGAGTACAGAATATCACGCTAGAGATAACAGATAAATACAAATATCTGGGCGTATGGATAAGCAGTGGGGCCGAGTACCTAAGGGAACATGAATAATACGTGACGACTAAAGGTAACAAGAATGCAGCGGTGTTAAAAACGGGGCACTGTGGAATTACAATAGGTATGAGGTTGTGAGAGGAATATGGCAAGGGGTCATGGTTCCTGGTCTGACTTTCGGTAATGCGGTCTTGTGCATGAAATCAGAAGTTCAAGCAAGATTGGAAAGTTAATGTGGCATAGGTAGACTTGCTTTGGGAGCATTTTGAGAAGCGATTGAGAAAAATGGAAGAGGAGCGTTGGGCTAGGAAGGTTTTCAGCTACTTGTAGATGAAAAATGTTTATACTAATTTGAGGAAGTGAACTCGAAAGCTGTCAAGCATGTATTTGGGCAACAGCAGAATACCAAGCCAAAAGGAAACATCCTTTAGGAAAAAGGTGAAGGAAACAGAGAGGGACATTTGGAAGATGGGAATGCTTACGAAATCATCAAAGGAGATCTACTGAGCTTTCAAGCAGGAAATTACAAGGGAAAAGATCTACGATAATTCACGAGGTAGTTCTCTGCTCTTCGAGGCTAGAATGGTAGTATTGCGGACCAAGACGTACCGAGCAAAATACGAAGGCCCAGGCATGTTATGTAGTGCATTTGGAGAGGAGGAGGAAACGGCTGAACATCTAATATTCTTCTTTAAAGGGCTCCGCCCTATAGTCGAAGATAATGGCACCGAATTTTTGAAAGCATTGGAGTCTAAGGACAGTGAAGGGAAAATATACTTTAAACGGGTAGAAATAACCAGATGAAGGCAAACTAATCGGTGGCTACAATCGAGGTGTAAGTGAAATTTAATCCTTAAACACAGAGTGATAGTACTTAACTGTATGGCTAGGTGGCGTAAGCCATCACCCAATCTTAAGGGCACAGCCGCAAACATCCTTTATCACCACCATCATTATCATGGTTGTTAGAACGCTAGTGCCGGCAGTGACACCTGGCGGCAAGCCGTAGTGGTGGCAGAGGAGAGAGAAGCGGTCCTCCTTTGCGTGTGTCGGTTGGTGCGAGCGGTTGACTCTTGCGGCGGTCCGCAGTAGACGGCACCGCGGGTTGTCTGCTGTGGGCCGTCGTGGTGAGGCAAGCCTTGGCGCTGCCGCCTAGGGTTTATGTTATAAGTGATGTGTAATATTGTGTAAGATTGTTTAGTGCGTTGATTGCAATTGATGTATAATGATTCCGCTGACGATATCGTCGTTCTAAAGCAGCTAAATACGTGTCGTTTCGTCCGACTGTGTTCGTGTTCCGAGAGCATGGCACTCTTCTTCATATCGAGACCCCACTAGGGGCCCTCCAACACTGTTCCCCCCCCCCCCCCCCCCCATGTTTTATTCGTGGGTTGTTGTAGAATGAAGTAGAGGCAGACTAACTCAGCGAAAACGGCAGTGTAACGGCACGCAGTCTGAAATTATTCGGCCTCCTGGGGTCTCGAAATGACGAACGAGCGCCACGCCACGCTCTTGAAGTGAAAGGACACAGTAGACGTGGTCGATACAAACCAAATAACATACGTACATTTACTTAACTACTTTATAACGACGTATCGTCCGCCGAACTTATACATAACTCGTTATGTAATACGCTAGAACATTGTTACACAATAACACGACCAACACACAGCATGATAAACACACTAACACACCCAAGGTGGCATCGCCAACGCTTGATTTACCACGAGGGGCCCCGACGTGCAGGCCCGCGGTACCACGCGCCGAGGACCCAGGCTAGAGACAACCGTTCG